TATATATATAGTGCGTAAATGCTAAGCCATTGAGAATAACTACTACTCGTAAGCGAATACATTTTCGAATTACAGTTAAAATAAATAGCTAACTAATTTACATTCCATATCTGTAGCTAATACATAGATGTATATATGCATATATAGATGTATGTATATACATTGATTTGAATTCGTCAATTAGGTCTGCAAGCTGGCACCGCCATGTCCATTGCCACCAGATACTGTATCGGGATTCTCGATGCGTATGAAGCGTTGCATGAACTCATTGCATCGGCTATGATAATCAATGGTCACGTTGCACTTGCTGCTGCGCAACAGAATGCGTCCAAAGATCGTGGCTGCAATCATCGGGATAAACAATTCGAGTTAATTCAGCTGATAAGCACATAGGTCTATTTATAAGAATGCCGTCAAGAGCACTTTATCATCGATACGCACCGACATTGTTGGCGTCGTAATCGCCGCGCTCAACACCCTCGCAGAGAAACAGGCACAGATGCTTGAAGACGTTGCGCTTGGGATCGCTTAACAGGTCTATGTACCTCTCGGCATCCGCTTTGCTGCGGCTGGCCAGCAGATCGTCCACAAACGGCTCCAGCAGCGCCTGCTCCGGCAGATCGAGCAGCAGCAACAGCGCCTCGGCAGCCGTCTGTGGGGTGCCCGCTGCGAATGGATAGAGACAATAGTAATAGTATATTTGCAGAGGTGTCAATGCTGGTTTAAGTGCAGCTTACGAAATGGATCGTTTGACCAGGAGTCCAGCCAATCGCGCACCGCATTGAATTGACTGCTGAGCGGCTGGCGGCGATCGTAGCTCTGAAAGAGCTGGCCTCTTTGGTTGTGCAAGTAATCGATGAGCAGGAAATATTCGCGGGGCATTGGCACGCGATACACGGGCGTCACATCCAGCATCTACAACGATGGGTATATAATCTGTGTATGATCTGTATGATCTGTTTAGGTTCGTATATCTTACCAGTTGCTTGACTTCGTCCAGCGTGTATTCACCGATCGGTCGCTCGGTGCGACACAACGTCTCCATCGAGAGGCCAAAGCAGCTGGGCTGATATTCACCCGTTACGGTTATGAATATATCGCGGCCGGATCGCACATGGAGTATAAGTATGTCTAGCACACATTTATCGACGGCGGTGCATATCATCTTGAGCAGACCCGTCACGGAATTTGCATCGATTAAAGCGCGCACTCGTATGCTGCGGGCGGAGTCAATCATTAGGCTATCCGCACGCGGGTCCACGTGCAGCCACTTCTCGCAGATATCGTTGTGCGAGTCCTTGACCTTGAACTTGAAGTCCACCTGTTGCGGGCAATCGTTGGACACATTGAAGTCCCGTATGGCCGGCTCGTTGAACCGCACCACACCGAACTCAATGTTCAATCGGTCCGTCGTTATCTGCGGCTGACTGTCGTTCTCGCGCTTGTCCACGGCCTTGAGCACCTCGGCCAAGACCTTCCTGTACTTGTCATCATCGCGTGTCTTGATCTTCACGCGGAATATGGCATATACCGGCTTATGGTCGCTTTCTCGTATCTCCATGACGCCATTGTATTCCAACTGCTCGATGAGTTTGCCCTTCCACAAGACGCGATCGCAATACGCTGGCGCGCGCTGTTTCTCACCCGTGTCATAGGTGTCGGTGCCCACGTCGTATTTGTAGGTGGGCGCAAACTTAATCTCTCCCTCCGTGTAGCCCTTAAAGCACCGCTCGTAGCTCATCTCCGTGCGCAGCTGGTCGTACTGCAGCATCAGCTCAAACGTTTGCGCGTCGCTCATGGGGCCCGGCCGCTGCTGTCCATTCGGCTCCTGTATCCGATAGTTGAGATCCCCCAGCCAGAAAATGTGACTAAAGTGAGGGAAAGACAATGCACAGACAAAAACCGAAAGAGAGAGAGAGAGATAGATTAGTTATCTGTTTACTGCACTGTTGCTTGCTGCATTTACTCGTGGTCGTTGATAGTGCGGACCTGAGGTCCGTTCTCCTCGAATCGCATGTAATCGTCAATGGCCTTGTAGTCCTCATTCCGCTCCGCCACGTTGCCCATGTGCGCGGCCAGATGCGAGTTCACAAAACACATGCTCGCCTCGTTTAGCTGGAAGCTAACAGCCACGCCCCCCTTGTTGCCCAACGTGTTGAACACGCCACGGGCCACCGAGTTCACGCGGCACCGCACGATATGTTGACGTAAATTTTTGCGAACAAATATTGTTAACATTATGCCAGATAATCGCACCGATTGCAACTCCTCATACTCCATATCATCATGCAGGTTCTCCAACATTTTTCGCCTGCGATGGACAGAGACAGAGAGAAAGTGAGATAGAATCGACATTCAATTAAAATCATATCATTTGTTGACTAAGGAAAGAGACTATCATATATGTACCTAAAACTTAAAATTTAACCTTTTCAAAGTTTTATCGGACGTGGAATATATATCTATATGTTCTATTCTAATTGAAGATTCGCATTCAGCATATTAACAACTTTCCGCTTCTTGATAAGCCAACAGCTGTAACAATAATGATAAATTCGTAATTCTTTAAACAAACGATTATTTGCTACAACTGTGCCATAAAATAAATATATTTTAACTTGGCTTTTATACTACTGCTGATTATACGCTGATCAGGGCATAATGGCTTTGTATATTGTATATATGTATGCTTGATCAAGGCAACGAGTTGAGTCGATATAGCCATGGAATGCCGAGAAGCGGGAGACTTGAAATTTTACATGTTTATTCGTGCATTCTATGCGGAGTAGCAGTTTATCATATTTATTCAATAGCTCAGCCCATTTCGTTTTAATCGATATTAATCGATTATTCGTATTTGTTCTTTAAGCTTAGTTTGAATACAGAATATAATGATTATAAAGACTGTAATATAAAGAATTTTTAAGTAGTTTAGGCCTTCAGTTATGCCCGAATCGAGAAGAAAAATGATTTCGGCATTTTCGTAATGCCAATTGTTGTAGCTAGATCACTTACACCCACTGCGTGGCAAACATTTGCATCTGATTGCCATTGAGCATGGCTCTGGCCGTGTTCTCCAGCTCCTGCAATCCAATGGCATAGATGTCCGGCGCTCTTTTGCCAGATGCGAGCCATGGGCGAAGCGTATTTTTGTTATCCCAGCAAGGTTTGTTATTTACGTTCCACGTGGCACAGTAGACGCTGCAAAGGATGATGGCATTAATAAATTAAAGAATTAATGTCAATACGAATATAGCCGAAGCTAATCATACATAACATCCTTGTAGATAATATATTCGCTCTCGCGTTTCTTTAGCTCATGCTTCACCTCGCCTATTTCACGGTAATCGTCGAGCCAGCGAAAATTGAGCGCCGCCTCCGACGGCAATTCGGCATCCCACATGGTCTTCTTGCAGGTGTTGACTTTGG